CGCGGAAACTTCATACCGATCAGCGGAATAATTTTGAGTCCAAAGTATGGGAACAACTTATGAGGTTACAGGGAATTATAAAAAAAATTACTCCAGTTTGTTCACAGTCCGACGGAATATTTGAGAGGCGCGATCGGAATATCAATCAATACCTCTCGATGTTCGTAGATGAACACCAGCGAGGCTAAAATAAACTGATGCCGTTTTTCTTTCTGGCTTGTTAGGCCAAGCAATGAAGGAAGTTTACCTCAACATAATTAGAAGTTAAAATTTTTTGGGGGGGATCGGTTCATTTTCATGTGCTTAATAACATATTAAGTTTGCGACCTTGTACTTCCATAGGGTTTTTAGTTAGGGGTGGTTTTTAGGGGTAATTTGCGGTTTATGGAGAACGCTGCTCAAAGGGATGGTCCAATAGCAAAAAGTTTCAAATGATTGTTGTAGCTGAAGTTTTTGCTATAAAAAATTCAGCGACAGCACCCTTCTATCTTCTATAGTTTTTTTTCTGCAGCGTCTTGAATACTAGCATGTTTTTATTCAAGGTCACTGAATCAACGTTTCACCTGTTTACGCGCATTTGTTGCAGCAGCGGCCAAATGCATAATCCGATTTCAATTTTTCAAACACCATATTATTGCTTATGAAATGCACTCTCCAATGCTTTTTAGTTCGAATTTTTTGCTTGAAAATTAAGCGAGCACGAACTTGTCTAATGTGCGAGGAAGTTGTAAATTGCATCAAAAACTACCCCTTTTTTGCATTCAATGTAATTTCTAAACGGGGTCAAATATTTGGTGACAATTTCCGACAATCGGCAGCCCATTTATTCCTCTCATATTGCCCCATCGGATTTTTTTTCGGTAATTAATTACTCAATGACTCATTGGTCTGAACACGTCGCGCGGAATTTTTCATAAAATCAAAAAAAATTAAAATTGTCGCACAGTGCTGAAATTTGGTACGACGGCTTTATTTATTGTTTTTATTAGTGTGGTGGTCTGTGATGGTTGCTGTGGATTTTTTTTCAAATTTGCCATAATTTGTTCCAATTAGCAATCAAAAAGCGGTTACAATTGCTGGAATGGATTCTTACCAGACCGCTGGAACTTCATACCTATCACGAGAGGAATTTTGAGTTCGAAATTCGCAAACAATGATGGATGGGAGGAGAATTCATCCGGTTCATCCGACGGAATGTTCGAGAGTCACAATCGTAATATCAATCAATACCTCTTGATGTTTGAGATGAATACCAGCGAGACTGGGATAAATTGATGCTTCTAAAAAGACTCAATTTTTGCCGAAAGCCAAGCCGAAAGGTGGTTCACGTAGAAAGGCTGGTCGGGTACAGAGGCAAGATTAGACCAACTTGGATGCGACCCGGAGAATTTTTTCGGGGCCAACAGCTTTAAGACAGCTTCTAAGGAAGAGGTCAGTGTTATAAATCACAGAGTGTCAAATGTATGTATTCCCTAAGTTGGGGAAATTTTGCACAATCTGGCAACATCGCATGAAGGTCCCTAGGGATGACCTCCCAAATACGAAATGACGTGGTTAGTTAATCAAAGCCGTATTTCGTACCTATTGATCATACCCTGATCGGCGTTTATCTGAAATTTCCAGAAGAAATTGCCTATGATTATTAAACCAAAGAAATTTATTTGTCGGGAGAAACTTTTCACAACTTTATTATAACAGCTGAGTTTCGATGGGAAACAGGATCGAGTTGGAACATGTAAATTTGAAATGCATCAAATTCTTGTCTAGTTTCTTAATATTTTGTGAGAGGTAAGGTTTGAAAATGGTAAGATGTCAAACATTTTTGAGCATACAAATCATCATTACCATTAACATATAATTAATTGTCATTAACAATAATAATTGTTCAAAATTATCCCGAACAAACTCAATTAACCTGTCTACTAGCTCATAGAGTAGCTAGACCAAAAAATAATTTCGTTTTGTTAGACAAGCTGAAATACGGTTCCTACAGGTATAGTGAATAAATTTGGTGCAACGGCACATCCTTGCTTGGAACCAGTTGTGATTTTTGAACCTTTTCCGAGTTCATTGTTGGTAAGGATAGTGGCATTCATGTTGTCATGCAGTAAACGAAGTATGTTGATATATTTAAGCGGACGGCCGTTCAATGCCAGTATTTTCCAAAAAGCTACTCGATCAACAAGATCCATCTAATTGAGAAGGCCTATAAATGCCATATGCAGTTTTTTTTTTGCTCTCTCGATTTTTGTGGTATTTGTCTTGCACTGAAGATCGTATCTACCATCTCTCCGTTAATCCTAAGGCCATATTTTTTTGGGTTGGGTTGCCTAAGCCATAGAAAGCAGTAACTTGCAAAAAAATCCCGCTAATAATTTTTCCTGCTGTATATGGCAGTAATTTTTTCCGGTAATTTTCTTTCTGTGCCATGTCTTCAATTTAATGACGATAAGGTGCAGAGGTTCTCTCAGATTTGTGGGAATCGTCTCAGTGTTCCATATTTTGGCCATAAACCTATACTGTGTGTTCGACCAGCGCACAGCACCTCCCTTTAAAAAGCTCATAAGGGACTTTGTCCACCCCATCAGTATTATTCTATAATCTGTTGTCAATAGACTAAAGACTGTTAATGACGTTTCCAACCCATTGATAGGAAGGAACGAAAAAGGTTGTGAGTGGATTTTTGAGAGACTTTGTTGACGAAGTCAGCATCCACCTGGAAATCATGATGCCGCGATACTCGAGACTGGTCTCGTCTCGTCTCGTATCGTCTCCATTTTTCGAGACGAGACTGACTTTTGGTCTCGTCTCGTGAAGTCTCGACAAGACGAGACCAGATCCGGCGAGAGTCTCACGTAGTCTCGAGTCTCGATATTACAATTAAAACTTTTCTTTCATAGCTTTATTATTGGACTATTCTGGGCTATTTAAATATGAAATCAGTAAATTTTAATACTAACATTTAAGGGGTGGGGTACATACCTACTCAATTTCAGATTCCACTTTCGGTTTAGCCAGTAGTGAGATCAATTTGAAAAAATGTTTAAAGCATAAGCACTGTCGGCTAAATTGGAAGTTAGATCTGAAGATAAAGTATGTTGAAAGCATCCCATTAATTCACAAAAAAAAAATACAGAGTGGTTTTTTTTTTCGAAAACTGTTTTGTATGAAATTTTTTTTACTCCTCACTGTGATTGTTCACTCTTTAAATAACTGCTTTTTCACTGTGGCAGTTTGGACTAATATAAAAATAAAAACCATAAATACGCTCTTGACGTAGTAGGGGACCCTTTGAGAAACCCTAGAAAAATAATTTAAAAAATCCTTCGCCAGCATTATTCTTGGTAATATGCAGAGGTAATTGTGGAAATTCACCTTCGAATTCTACAGGTAATTACATAGGTATTTAATTTAATTCTCTGACCTAATAAATATTAAAATGCAAATAACTTTGCTGAGTCCCATATCTAGATTTTTGGACCTTTTCTAGAAGGTTCATGGGTTGCTGTTGTAACACAAGATGGCTCTGGTGTTCTTAGGAGCAGATGTTCCAATTCGGTTGACTTCTTTGTCTACCATTTCTTTTTTAGCATACTCTTCTTCTTTGTTTAATACGTCAGCGTTTGTTCGAAGATGGGTTTATTTTTCGTGAGCTGCATCTGTTTCGATTTTTCAGATGTTGTATGGCTTTCCTCTGAATTTCTTTATTGTTCTCATCAAACCAATCCTGATGTTTCCTTGTGATGAAGTCCATTAATTCTCGGCCGGCTATCAGCACAACTGTTTTAAGCATTCGCACCAATGCTGTTCCATTTCGGCTGACGGCGAACTGTGAGGCCGAGGGCGAGTATAAACGATCTTAGGGATTTGGTAACGGCGTGCTCGACGCAAACGCAAACGGAATCTCGACGGCGAGTTTATAAATTGGGCTTAAGTCTCTCAATATTGTTGCGAAATTACATTGGTGCGGAGAAGCCGACGCCGATAGGACTCAAGCGCGAATATTTAGAAATTGATTTTCATAATTTTCAGATTTCTAGTTTGGTGGTGCATAGATAAGGTGCGTAGTTTCTGAGTTGTGGGCAGGTTGAATACGAGAATTGTTGTATAAAGTTATGTAAAAGCGATGAGCGATAAGAGAGTTTTGTAAAGATAATTAATTAGTTCGATTCACCATTCACCATTCGGTCAGTCCAGCATGGGATTATAGCACTGGTTATTTGCACGTCGGGTTGTTCTTTGGCGCATGAGTCGATAAGATGCCGGTGCATCTGGGATGTTGCCACGTTGTTTCAGCATATTTTTTTAACGAAATGGAGTAGGTATTTGTGATGTAAAGATTGTACTCGAGGAATTAGATTACGTATACTACACAGCTGATACATACTAATTAACAAAAAATGCCCTTGGAACTTAAAAGGTGTTTGATCAAAAGTGAATAAATTGGGTATAAAATAAACGTAGTGCTTCGGAATTGCATCGGCAAACCGGCCGGATAGATCACTATTTATGCCGGTTTTCCACAAAACGGAGTTTGTGTTTTAAAACATGTTTTAAAATTCGAAATTGACCCGAAAAACAAAACTCCAACTGTCGCAAAACACGCTAATCTTGAAAATGTTTGGGAAAAGTTAAAGTTTTGTCTGAGTTTAAGTTTTGTTTTTGTTTTGTCGGTTTGGTGGAAAACCGGCATTAGATATCTTCGCGGTTTCGAATGTTTCGATACCGATTTTTGTTAGAATCGTCTGCCATATTTTGCATCGACTAATCAGTTCTGTCGGTTAACAGAGATCCATTAATTATTTGCCGTTTAAACAATCTGCAACTGAAAGGACTAAAATTTGTTTTGTTAAACAGAAACCCAAGTTTCGAAAATAAATATTACAACTACATCAAATTGTTGAGTTGTAGTAAATTTGATAATAACGATGTTTATTTTGTCAGAGTGCTTGATATGAATATACGTATTTTATAAATTTGTTAATATTACATTTACGTACCTGTAATCGAACATGTTGGTATACCACAAATGAGTGGGTCTTTCAGTGGATCTGGAAATACAAAAAAAATTAATATATCAAGTAATTTTGTTTATAGTCTTATTTTGTCGCGGATATTTAGGTACCTTAAATTACACGTTGACTGTTGTTTGAAATGGTCTGATTTAACATTTGATAAGTATCGATTTTATCCTTATTTTTTGATTTTTGATATTTTTTTGGCATTTTTACCTTTGAGAAGCACGTGTGGACCACGTGGCCCAAATAAGTATTTCTACTTTAGAGGGCCGTGTGGTGCACACTTGCTTCACTGGTAAACGAAGGATAAAACACCTTTTTCGTGCTTCAGATGCATTCAGTGCGAGAAATTTTTCTGCATTACGTGTTTTTGTAATGTTCATACCTGCATAATACAATATGGGAGCTATTTTCTTATTAGATTTTATTGTTTAGTTGTTTTCAGGTATACTTTTCAAAAAAAAAGAGTTTCCATGCGCTTCTAGTTGTTAGTTTTTCTTTTCTTCACAAAAACAGGGTTTGGTTATCTTTGTAATTATTTCATAACACTGTGAAACAAATAAATTTTCATCCAGAGTGAGCATTGTTTTACTCGACATTGGTACGACAATTACATGGGCTAAGTTCATAAAATAATTCTCCAGGGCACCAAAAAACATGCCCCATTAGCTTATACTGCAACCGAGAAGCAGCGATGTACGACGTCCGCCGATATTACATCAAACCTTGAGAAGCAATGATGCTTCTCACGTTCCAGGTATATCAAGTGAAGCTCACCTGTTTCTCATGGCAGTCAACGTGTTAACTTCACTGATTGGGTGGGGACAGGTATTGTCTGCTCAAGAATTATGCGTCAATTAACTAATTATTTAATTGCAAGTCACGAGTAAATAATCTTAAAATTCGGCCTGCATTAGATTGCTAATTTGACTTGAACCAATGCAATTTTATTTTACGCTCGAGATTTGACGAAATTGGTACGAAGGCGCCTAATTTAATCCATCTATATTTTACAAGCCAAAAAAATGCAATGGTTTTACGCGTCATTTGTCGTAGCTCGGAAATTTATTTTGCTTGTGTTACATCTCTCTTTGTCAACCATCAACAATACGAATATCCATAGTAATCATCTAAATTATGTCAAACACAGTGCGCGTGCAAAAAGCAGCAGCAAGTTGCTGTCTGTGATAAATTCAAGTATTGATGACGTAGCGCCCAACAGCTTCGAGAATCGAGTCGATCTTTGATCCGACCAAACTGAGCAAAAGCACTGTGGGCGACATGGGCGTCCTCTGCATGCTGCATGCATTATCTCTTTCGACTCTTTTCTATTTAGCCGTTTACGGAAACTATAATCGGGTTAAGCAGATCAGCAGCTGAATGTTTTCTATCTTTCCTCAATGAATACGATTGGCAAAAAACAAAAAACGTCTGCTGCGATCGGGTTAACCCGATCATAGTTTCCGTAAACAGCTTTTACTTTTTCAATAGCTTCGTTTGCGGTAAGGATTCTGACTGGTTCGAAACTATTTCGCATGCGCAGTTCAAGTAATGGCGTTCGCGGATCACAAAATCCCGAACTTTTAGTTATGGTTCTGGATTCGCAGATCAACCAGAATCGGTTCGGAACCGTTTCTGAACCAGTTCTAGCGGTCCTAGGATTTTAGCGAGAACTTCAGGATTGACACATAACGTTCTACTGCACATTGGCCGCGTTCACCAGATACAAACGTTGGTAAACGGTTTGTGATTATTCTGCTGAACGCTACTTTGAATTTGTGTTAAAACCAAACATGTTTTGCAAACGGTCGCCATTTTTGCAAACATAATTCCAGAGATTTATAATTTTCAACACTGTGTTTTGTGTGGTGACCTGTCATTCAGAGGGTGACGATCCATCATTGAAAAGTTGTATCGTTCAGCAGAACCAAGAGTTTACCCAACGTATTCTGTTGGTATTTCTCAACTGTTTACAATCCGTTTTGGATCTGGTAAACGTAGCCATTATCAGTTTTTATTTTCCATTTGAAATCCAGTGCAATTATGTATGCACTCAGTGCGCATTTTTTGGCACGAGCTAGGAAAGCCCGTGGGGAGCCAGTGCAGTTTGTTTTGTTTTTGTTTACATGTACCATACACATGAAAATTTGAAAAATTTCTGCTAATATTTCCAAAGAAAAAGCTGTTGCACTTCTGGATTTATTATGTAGCATCAGCGAAGATGAATCCGATGACGAAATTATATTATTTGAATGAATTCTACAGTTTATCTAGGTTGTTTTTAAATATACATATTATTTATTTTTGTTTAAAAATATTGTCTGATGAATTACTCTAAATTATTTAAACGCAGTCTATAGATAGTCCAAATTTAACTGCGGGTGGAACCGCGGGGAAGAAGCTGTTATGTTATATTATTATCTGAACCATCGATCTAAATTTGTGAGATGACTTCTTCATTAATTCTAGAATTCATTTCAAATATGTGCATCCATTTTTTAAATAAACTGCTGGACAATTGCCTTCGAGCAAGGACATTTTTTCGCTTAACTTTCCAGCTCAATATTTTTGGAACCAGACCAAATATCAAATATATCTATTGTTACTTTTGAGAAAGCGGTGGAGGGGCGCCAAAATTTGGACTTGCCTTTGGCGCCGAGGGTTCTAGTTGTGGCCCTGAGTAGAGAATCCGGAAGATCGAGGCTTTCACCCTGCATCTATGAGATAGACACTCTGTATATTTTTTGAATTTTGAATATATAAAAAAAACTTTTTTGTTTAATTTTTTTTCTGCCTGTTGGTCACTCCAGCAGGACTGACCTGAAAAAATATCACACCACATTAAATGAACACCCTTAACTGCCTACATTTAAAAAATAATTTCCCACTTGATATGTAGACAGTTTTCTTCTATTTATTTATTTATTTATTCACAATACCTGCCTTCACGTTTTAAACCGGATCTACAAGGCAGGATACAATACATCCGTATAATAAAATAAAAACTTTCAGATACTATAATAATAAAAATAATACCAAGCTACTTAAATATTTAAAAAAAGCACGAAAAGTACGAATTCCTAAAATATTCTGTGCAATAAACCAACAATAGAAAAAAGAAAATACCGCAACAAACTAGCAGAACAAGGTTTTGCAGTCGTCAACAATGCGACATATGGAAGCTCCATTTAGGGAGAATTCACACCAAAGCAATAAGCAACTAGCAACTAGCAACGCGCGATACGCAACACGTTATCGCTTTCAAAAAGTACACAATAAATAAAGTATCTATTCATATAAACTGCTGGACAATTGCTTTCGAACAAGGGAAATATCGCCTAACTTTCAAGATCGATATTTTTGGAACCAGACTAGATATCAACCTTCGGTTTTCACAACCTGACAGATTGACTTTTTGTGAAAAAATTACTATTTTGAATTTTTTTTAAATGTCTACTTTTTTTTTATACAGGGTGTTAAAAGAGTCCATGATTTTCATCCCAATTTTGAATGTGTGTAGATTGTAGATTGTAGATTGCGGGGGAGTCGTTTCGGCTTTTCAGCCGCTCAGCACTGCTACCTTTGCAGATATTTTGTACATGACTCTACATCTCAAATTGTCTCCAAGAAGCGTAGACTTCTGCCGAAGGAAGCTATTTTCCTGGGTGTTAGTTGGCCCACTTCTTCTGGTGGCAGTGTTGCCCCCTCGAGGAGTTTGAGCCTTTTGCAGAATTGGGCTGGACATTCGCAGAGCAGGTGCTCTGCGGTCCCTATTGCATCTGAGCAGAACTGCAGAGATCGTCTTCCGCTTTGCCCATTAACCTTAAATGGTATTTTACTGGACAGTGTCCTGTGAGCAGTCCCACCACCAATCTGATGTCTGGTCTGCTCATGCTTAGGAGCTGTTCAGCTCTTTTTGCTGAAAGGGTAATAAACTTTTTAGACTATCTGAGTCCCGGTGTGTGCCTCCAGTATGATGACAGTTGGTCTTTCTCCCATTTATTGAGTTCTTCCATGATGTGGCTTTTCATTAAGCCACAGTAGGGCTCTGGTCCATGGTATGGTGTTGAGGCCCCTTCCTTTGCGAGGCCATCTGCTTCTTCTTGAATGTGTGTAACTTTCTCAGATAATTTTTTAAAGGACCCCGCACAAAAAGATAGGAAAAGTGGTCCCGGTCAAATCGTCTGAAATTTTGATATGATATACTTCTCGTTATCCTGATTAAAAGCTTTCATGGACGCAAAAAAATTTATCGAGGGGTTTTCGAGTTATAGCTCCTCGAAGACGTCATTTTGGATATAGATGTCAACGTTGAAAATTGTATATTAAATATTATCTCGTTTACATAATTTGGTCAAATAGTATTAAAAATAGAGTAAATAAACTTCAAAAGATCTCAGAAATACTTAAATAGTGTGAGTAAATATGTTACAAAATGATACAATAAAGGTGCTGTTTGTTTGTCATTAGTCCGGGTGTTCATCTGTTGTTTCTCCATACCTATAACATTACAAAATCTGACGCGTTCTTTTCAAGTTATAGCGTGTTATGTTTTTTTTTTTATTTGGTCAAGTATTATTGAAAGAGCAGGGAACGAAAAAAAAAGTTTTATTTAGGTAAGCCGCGGGTGAGCGGCTACCTAATTGAGTGAAAAGCTCATAGTTTCTACCATATACAGGAATTACTGTGAAAGCAAAAAATATAGTATAAAATAAATCTATGAATTTATTTTTATATATAAATTCTATATTTTTGTTTTTGATAACAAAAGTTCTATACACACTATACTTTTAATCTATTTTATGCCAATACCAACAATTCAAGATTTAAAGCATTAAAAATACACATAGTTTGCTAAAAATTAGAATAAGCATAGGTATTAATGAAAATAATGAAAAAAAGCTAGGTGGACTTTAGTTTCAATTGATAAGCACGTACTTTATTTGGGGCTCTGTTTCCAGCATCTGATACACGATGTAGTAACTCGGTTGCTGGATAATGGATATTTGGTTGGTGTCAAGGGTAACCAAAAT